TTCAAAAAGGTTTAAATTTGAATATTTTGAAGAATTTTAATTCCTACAGAAAAATAATAATGATTAAATATTTATTTAAGAAAGAAGTTATTGATGTTTTTAAATAATTTTCCAATTAAAGAAGTTTGTAAATAAATGTAATAGAACATTTTTTTTGAGTATCTAATAATTTTGAGAGTGAATCCGAGTGAATCAGAATATTCTTTAGGGTCAGGGAAAAAGTGAAATTTTTTTCTGGAAATCAGGGAAAAGTCAGGGAAAAATAAAATTAAATATTTGTGGCAACCCTGTTAAGCGACTTTGGAAAATCAGCTGCAATTTTGCTTTAAAAAAAAGTGGCCCAAGGTTCAAAAATTCACTGAGAAATTAAAAAAATTATGTAAAACACTTTTAGTTCTCGGGGAATTAATTTAATAGGCTATTTGTCTTTGTTTGCGGGAAACGTGATTGTTAACATTGAGCCAACAAATTTTGTGGTTTTGTCCTTATGGTAACAAATTCATTCTCATTACAACTTGAATTTGTAATGGAAAAAGTCACGTTTAATAGAATATTTCCAGCAATAATCTAAATTATTGCATTTTAAATGATTAAATGTTTATTAAATGAGTAAAAATACATATTTAATGAAAAAAATTCCCTTTTTTCTAAGGATATCAAAATTGATACAAAAAACGAATTAAGAGTGTTGCAACGTTTTGATTCATTTTTTTGTCTCTCAATTTTGATATTCTTAGAAAAAAAGGAAATTAACATATTAATTACTAGTATTTATAAACGTATTAATATATTAATTATTAATATTTATTAATTAATTACTTTTTTGTAGATAACATTGAAAAGATGATTGACGAAGAAAAATAGTTTTGCGGTAATAATAATTATAAAATATTGAATAAGAAGATTTATTCTTTCATTGGGTGGTTTTTGTTTCAACAATGATCCATTAATTTCCCTGAAAAATCCCCTGCTTTTCTCCCTGTTTCATTTCGTATGCAACGGCTCTTTTCTCTAAGTCGAGAAACTAAGATATTTCAACTCTTTGGAATTATAAATTAAGTAGGAGGATTTGGTTTTGTGCTATATATCGTTTCCTTAACATCTTCATTTCCTGTCTTCTCTTGTCTTTTAACAGGTTTCAGACTTTCAGATAAGTTGTTAACCAAGAAGTCCTACACAATTATTCAGTTTCCTCCCTTTTATGTGCCTCTTTGCTTCTATTTCAAACTTGTTAAAATAATCATTTTCACTATGAATTCCGCTCGTTTCTTTCATTGAGAAACAAAAATTTTACACTTGTTGAAATTGTTTTTCAAATTAAAATTTGATATCTGTTGGGGCTTTGTAATTCAATTTTCAGAGGGGAAAATGTTTTTCTTTTATTTCAACTCTCTTGATCTGAATTAGTGTTTTTTTTTATTAATTTTACCATTAGTCCAAATACTGGGTTACGACGCTTTTCCTCATTTCAAATTCCCTGACTTTTCCAGGTGTTCCAGGTTAAAAAACGGAATTTTTCCAGGTTTTTAAAACTACATTTATATTTTACAAAATTTTATTTCTAATTTAAATTTAATTTTAATTTTTAATTTAATTTTTAATTTTACCAAACTCCCTGCTTTCCAGACAAAACGATTTTTTTCCTGTTCAATTACATTTATTTATGAATTTCTTTAATTGTAAAATTACTCGAAAACATCAATAACTTTGTTTTTAAATGAATATTTAACCATTAATTTTTTTACAGAAATTGAGATTTTCAAAAATTTTAAATTCAATAACATATAAGAATATTATTATAAAACTTGATACTATCATTATTTTATATTATCAAAATATTATTACTGTAAATTCTTCAAAATTATTTTCAATTCAATTCAATTCTTCCTTAAATCAATTTTTTTAAATAATTTTTGAAAAAGTTCTTCTTTGAGAATTTTTAAATCCATTTGTTTACAATTCAATTTTACCTAAAATTTCGATTATTTTGACATTCTTCAATTAAATAAATTAGAAATTAAAAATTTCAAATACCTTAAAAAAAAAATTCCATTAAACTTTTTGAGAAAAATTAATTCTAAATTTCGGTAAAAATTTTGTCAAGAATTTAATTATTTTTATAGATAATAAAATCATTGGCAGGAATTCAATTATTCTCAAAAATATGAATAAAATTCTTCGAAATAATTCAATTATTTTCAAAATTGATAAAATTCTCAGCAAGAATTCAATTATTTTCAAAAATTATAAAATTCTTTGTAAATATTCAATTATTTTCAATATTAATTTTTACGTAATTTCGATTATTCTGACATTCTTCAATTAAATATATATTGGAAAATAAAAACATGAAGAATTAAAGAAAAATTCAATTAAACTTTTTCATAAAATGAATTCTATAGAATTGTTAATAAAAAAGTACGAAAAGTTCTAATTTTTAAAGATTTTAATTTGTAACCTTTTAAAAATTCAATTATTTCTAGAATTTACGCTATATTGCTTTCAATATTTAATAATAATCTAAAAATTTAACTGAAATTTATTTTTAAATTAGTTTTTATTAAAAAATTCTGCGAGAATTCAATTATTTAAATACAAAAATAAATATTTTATTAAATAATTTAATGTTTCTTAAAATTGAATTTTCATAAAGAATTTTATTAAACAAATTTTTAAATAATTGAATTCTCCTGGACATATTTTAATCTGGACATTTTTTTCAATAAAATGGTTTCCTTTATTTTCTAAAAATTCAAAAATTTTTAGTTTAATTTTCAATTAAATTTTCTATAATTGACGAATATAATTTATAAACATTTTTTTTCTTTATTTTTAACAAACTTTGAATTTTATTGCAACAAATTGAAATTAAGAAATAGAATTGATGCAAATTATTTCCTTATGAAAATTGAGAATTTTCTAGAAAAATAATAAGAAACGGGAATGTTTAATGTTTTTCTTCCCAAAAGAAAAAAATGAGTTTGTAAACAATATTGTTATTGAGACATAAAAATTAATTTTTATTAGAAAATTCTACGAAAATTTAATTATTTAAGTACAAAAGTTAATCATTTATTTAATAATTAAATGTTTCTTAAAATTTAATTCTTATAAAGAATTTTATTAACAAATTTTTAAATAATTGAATTCTTTTGACAAATTTAAATAAAATTTTTTAAAATAATAAAATAAAAACAAATTCATGTAAATTCAATTTTTAATAATTAAAATTCCTGTAAAATTTTCATTATTTTAGAAAATAATTGAATATTTGTGTAGAACTCTGTCAAAATTGCTTTTAAATAATTGAATTTTTTTAGAAAAATTTTATTAAAATAATAGATACCCAAATTATTAAATTAAGAAAAATTTTAGACAATATTTAAAATTTTGGAATGAATTTTATTAAAATTTTTGAAAATAATTGAATTTTATTACTTTCGCAAATATTTGAATTTTATTACTTTCGCAAATATTTGAAATTTTTGAATGAATTTTATTAAAATTTTTGAAAATAATTCAATTTCATTACTTTTGCAAATAATTAAATTATTATTGATGAGTTTTATTATTTATGAAAATAATTGAATTATTGAGAAGAAACTTATAAAAAAATTTGTAAATATTTGAATTCCTGTGAAATTTTTAATATTTATGAAAATAATTAAAAGTTTGGGTAGAATTCTATTAAAATTGTTTTTAAATTATTGAATTCGTTGTGTCATTTTATTAAAATAGTAGATATTGAAAATCATTGAAATGATAAATTTTTTTGAAAATTTTAAACGCGATTGAATTTCGAATTCTTAATGAAAAAATTTATAAATTAAAATCTTTATATAAAAAAATGTTGTGACATTATGTTACTGAAATTACAACCGAAGAATGTGCAATTGATACGTAATATCGAGGACACTTATAGCGAGATGCAGCAGATTCAATAAGTTTCTTTGGTCAATTTATTAAGATAGGTGAAATGAACATCGACGTTTTGCCTCTATTGAACGTTGCTAAAGAAGCAACCCGTATATGCTACGTGAACAAACTTTGAGATAGAACGAGCCAATCGTGTAATAAATTCAATTAAAAGTCAATCCCTTGTAAACTTTGAAATTCAGTTAATCTACCCAATCAAAGCCTAAAGTACCAAACGATGAAATTTCATTTAAAAAAAAAAATGAAAAATCCCCACTTTTATAATTTTTACAATTTTCAATCATTCTCAAATATTTATTATTGCCACTGCTCTGAATTTTTTATATTCGTTATTTTAATAATAAATATAACATTTTAAACAATTACAAGTTGCATTTGCATAAAAATTGCAATTTTTCATAATTAATAGTAATAAAAATAAAAAATATTTATATAATTAATTATAACCCTACTAATAATAACAATAAAAATAAAAATTATAAAAATAAAAATTATAAAAATAATAACAATAATAATAATATTAACAATAATAGCAATAGTAATAACAACAGTAATAACAACAACAATAACAGTAATAATATTAATTATTAATTTCAGTAATTAAAAAAAAATTGTCCTAAAAATTACTTAGATTAATATATTAACAAACCACAATAAAATATTCATCTAAATAATAATAATTATTATTATAATTATAATTATAATAATAATACTACTAATAATAATAATAATAATTGCTATAATATTACTAATTAGAATAGAAACTAAAAATCCCAGCAGTGAACGTAAAAAGCAAAGTTATCTTAACCCAATTTTTTTCGTAAACTAATAGTACTTCTTTAATCCCTAAAGTTTGGGCAAACAGCAAAAAAACAACACTTTTTTTATCTGAATCTATTATTTCCCTAATTCAAAAACTTTAGGCAAACAATAAGAAAAAAAAGAAGGAGGTCAAGCACTTTGAAAGAGAAAAAAGAGAGAGGGAGAAATAGAGAGAGAGAGAGAGAGAGAGAGAGAGAGAGAGAGAGAGAGATAAAATTTCTTTCCACAGTTTCTAAAATTACCTTGCACTGTTATTGTAACTCTGCACACTCTGTTATTCCAAGGGTGGGCGATGAAAACACTCTCTTGATGGAAACCGATTGAGAAATAAAACTTAAGGATGTTAATATAATTGATCACTGTGAACAATCACCAGTATTGTCAGGTCCCTTTGTTTATTTTCACGAAAAAAAAGGTGACGACGACGACGACGACAAATGATAAATGCACTAAATTATTCTAAATCCTCTTATCTATATTGAGAGAGAGTGAGAGGAATGATGTTGAATTAAGGGGAGAGAATCAGATCGTAAAATAGAGGGAAGCGAGAGGGAGAGAAAGTTGATTTAAAATTCAAAAATAAAAAAAGAGATGATACAAAAAAAATGAAATTTTTATTTATAATGATGATGATGATGATCACAATAGAGAAAAATAAAAATTCAACACGATCGCGACGAGTATCACTCGTAAACTGAGTGCGGGTGTACTGAAGAGGAGACAATGGGAGGGTAAAAGAGGCAAAGGGTAGAAAATAGGGTGGAAAAGGGGGGTGGATTGCGCGACGAGTACGAAAAACGAGATGCTGAATCCGTATTGGCGCGCGCAGAAAATATCAAAAAATAATATCCATGGGATTTTGTTTTTCTTTTATGATTAATCGATCAATATTTTGGGATGAGAAAAACGAAAAACATTTTTTTGAGAAAAAAATAAAATCATTAGGTATCATAGTACTGATTTCCAGACAAAAAATTTCCCTTTTTCCTGATTTTAAACAATATTCTGATTCACTCTAAAAATAATTAGATATACTCAAAAAAATGTTCCATTACATTTATTAGGATTGCCACGCTTTTCCTCATTTCAAATTCCCTGACTTTTCCAGGTTAAAAAAAAGGAATTTTTCCAGTTTTGAAAAAAAAACAAAAAAACATTATAATAAACATTATTTACATTTATATTTTACCAAATTTTGTTTTTAATTTTAATTTAATTTCAATTTTAAATTTTATTTTTAGTTTTACCAAAATCCCTGATTTCCAGACAAAACGACTTTTTTCCTATTCTATTACATTTATTTACGAATTTCTTTAATTTTAAATTTACTCGAAAACATCAGTAACTTCGTTTTTAAATGAATATTTAATCATTTTATTTTACCATAGGAATTAAAATTCTTCAAAAGATTTAAATTCAATAACATATAAGAATATTATTATAAAACATGAAAATATCGATCACTCCGAGTCTTCGACTAGGAATAATCGCTTTCTTCATGTTTTATAATCATTAAAACTTGATACTATCATTTTTTTATATTATAAAAATATTAATACTGTAACTTCTTCAAAATTATTTTCATTTCAATTCAATTCTTCATTTCTAGAATTTTAAACTAAAATTCTTCTTTAAATCAATTTTTTTTAATAATTTTTGAAAAAGCTCTTCTTTGAGAATTTTTAAATCCATTTGTTTACAATTCAATTTTACCTAAAATTTCGATTATTTTCACATTCTTCAATTAAATAAATTAGAAATTAAAAACTTGAAATAATTAAAAAAAAAAAGTTCTATCAAACTTTTTGAGAAAAATTAATTCTAAATTTCCTTAAAAATCTTGTCAAGAATTTAATTATTTTTATAGATAATAAAATCATTCGCAGAAATTCAATTCTTCTCAAAAATATAAATAAAATTCTTCGAAATAATTCAATTATTTTTAAAATTGACAAAATTTTTCGCATGAATTCAATTATTTTCAAAATTGATAAAATTCTCAGCAAGAATTCAATTATTTTCAAAAATGATAAAATTCTTTGAAAATATTCAATTTTCAATATTCATTTTTACATAATATCTATTATTCTGACATTCTTCAATTAAATATATAATATTAGAAAATAAAAACATGAAGAATTAAAGAAAAAATCAATTAAACTTTTTTATAAAATGAATTCTACAGAATTGTTAATCAAAAAGTACGAAAAGTTCAAATTTTCAATGATTTTAATTTGAAACCTTTTCAAAATTCAATTATTTCTAAAAATTAAGGTTATATTGCTTTCAATATTCAATAATAATCTAAAATTTTAACTGAAATTTATTTTTAAATTAGTTTTTATTTAAAAATTCTACGAGAATTCAATTATTTAAATACAAAATAAATATTTTATTAAATAATTGAATGTTTCTTAATAATTAGTTTATTCAGACAGTACAGTCTATTACATGAAAAAAAAGTATAGAATCTTTACAAAAAAAGTAACTCATACATTTGCATTCCAACATTTTACATTCTAGACACACACTTGCAACATTTCCAAAATCATTTTAACAAAATCCTTACAAATTTTAACATCTTCTGAAGACAAAATCGCGCGCCAAAAGGTTCCTTGATTTGAACAAGCTGTTATTTGTGGAAAGAACTTGCTTTTGATATTTTCGAAGTGGGGACATACATTAAGAAAATGATTTAAATCCACGCTCTCACCAAAGCAAAACATACACCGGTCCGAATTAAAAATCCTATATCTTTTCATAAATAAATTGATGAAGTCTACATGACTATTGGCAAGACGCAATTGGGCAAAACCTCTTTTATAGTTCAAATTCATTCTCCTCAGAATATAAGGTTGCACACCTTGATGTAAGTCAAGATGTGGCCAGACCTGCAAGCACCTAGAGCGAGATCTAGCATCTAAGTCACTTTTTAGTTGTGCTCTCATGTAGGCACTCAATACCTCCCCTGCACACCGAGCCATGTCATTCAATGAAGCTTCTTCCCATAACTTTAAATGACCACTTGTTTCAAAAAAATGCTTCAATTGAGAAAACCAGTTTAAACGACCAGAATTTTTTGTACGCGACAAAACTATGAGTCTCTCTAGACACTGTCTTGGAAACCGTGAAGAGACCATATGAGAAATTTTTTCTATCCAAGACAGTATCCTAGCCAAAACTACACAAGAAAATGGGGGTCTACCCACTTCTAATCTTACCGCATAGTTCGGCGTGCAAGATGGTAAATGAAGCAACTCTTTAAAAAACCCCAATTGGATCTTCTCCAGGTTACCCAGACAGGACAGCCCCCATATCTGAATACCGTACGAACTTGAACTATTTACCAAACTTTCCAATAATTTAATGTAAGCTGCCCAAGAGTCAATTTTAAGTTCATTTATAATTTTCATAACGGCACATTTCGCTGCATTAGCTGAGTTAGTAAATTTTTTCGAAGCGGATTCGTATTTACAATTATCGCTGAAGATCACGCCTAAATAATTATAGCTCTTCACCACTTCAATTTTTTCCTCTCCCAATTTAAACGACTTAAACCTTCCCGCCTTATTATTGGCGTTTGTACGAAAAATTACTACCTTCGTTTTAATAGGATTAATATTTAGACCGTTCAACTCGCAATACCTTCTTAACGCCTCTAACTTTTTGCTAAGCTCCACAGGGGTATCCGCAAGGAGCACCAAGTCGTCCGCGTAGGCCAAAATAAGAATCTCTAACACTCTATTTACTGAAAGACCCCTGCAACCGTGTTCCCGCAAATATTTTTCAAGATCACTAATGTATAAAGAAAACAACAATGGACTCAAGGTATCACCCTGCAGAACACCCTGTGAAACCCTTACAAATTCGGTGTTGCCTGTCTTAGTCTTGATGCAAGCATATGCCTTCTCATAAAAATCCCTTATAACATTAATTAATTTTGAACTCATTCCCAGAGTACTCAATTTAACCCATAATAAATCATGCGGGACTGACGGGAAAGCGCTTTTAAAATCGACAAAGGCAGCGTACACTGCTCGTTTCGGATGTCTCAAATGAATCTGGATCAATGATTGTAAAGTAAAAAGATTATCCAGACAACCACGCCCCCTTCTAAATCCCGACTGAAATTCCGGAATCAAATCGCCTGCTTCACTCCAGCTAATCAGCCTTTCCGATAAAATTTGAGTAAAAATCTTAACGATATTATTTACCAATGTTATTGGCCTATAATTATCCGGATTACCGCTATCCCCTCCCTTGGGCAACATGGTCGTGGATAGAACACCCCATGCCGACGGAATTTTTTCTAAAGAAAATATTTTATTAAACATTTGTTCTAAGTAGAATATCCAATTTTCTGGCAATCGTTTATAAAAACTATAATTAATTAAATCCACACCAGCAGCTTTTTTATCTTTACATTTATTAAGACTTAGAAGTAACTCATCCCTTGTTATTAATCCATCCAACATGGGGTGACCTATATGCTCTTCGATAGGACGACTTATTAATTTTATTGGAAACATATTTTTTAAGTACTGAAGCCAAATGTCTTTATCAATCAAATTAATATTGTTTTTTCTTATGCGCTTTTTATTGATAATAGACCAAAAGGAAAATGAATCTCGAGTATTTGCAATTTTATCTATTAAATTATTTTCAAAAATCTTTCTTTTATATTGCAAAAGTTTCAAATATTCTTTTTTACTTTTATTAAAAGCTTCCCTTCCTATAATATCATCGTTCTTCTGAGAATTTTGAAAATCCACCACCATGTTACTTCTAGCAGAATGACATTCCGAATCAAACCATACTTTATCCTTCAGTCTAATCACATTTCCATCATTATTCTTTTTGACATTAATCATATTCAATTCTTTTGCGACATCTACAATGGTATCAATTAAATTTTTATTTAAAACATCAACATTTTCATCTACCCTTGATACTTCATCTCTCCATCTCATCTTTTCCTCAAAATTCAAACTACAATCTACATTAAAACGAAGACTAACACATTCTGAAGTAAAATCTGATTCATATTCACTATTCATTAACTGCTTCTCCCAATTCACATACATAACAATAGGTAGATGATCTGACATTGTCAAAATAGGTAAAACTTTAAAATCAATCAAATAAGAAAAACCATCTATCGAAGTCCATAAAAGATCAATTACACTTGAACCCAAATGATTACTGAACGTAAATTGAGCTGGCGAATCACCTTTTGATCTACCATTTAAGAGCCAAAGACTGTTATTGCTCATAAAGCACTCTAACTGTTTACCCCTACCGTTTACAATCAAGTCCTTCGAGTGTCTCTCTGCTGAGAATGCGTCACAATCCAGAAAGATAGATTCTTCCAACAGGTTCAGCTCTCCCACTCTACAGTTGAAGTCCCCACCTAAGTAAATCGGAAGTTGGGGGAATCTCTCCCTAATAGAAGATAACATTATATTCAACGACTCTAAGAATTTGCCAACATTAGCTGAAGGGGCAAGATAAACAATTCCCAAAATAAATTCAAATTTTTTATCATTAATCTTGACAATAATAATTTCTGGAGTAGAAAAAAACAATTGAGGGGAAAATAATTTACCACTAAGAACCACTAGAATACCTCCCTTTGCTCTTCCCTTATTTGCTTCTCTGAGTGC